GAATCCGAAAATCTCTTTTTTTATTGATATTATTTTTTCAAAATAAATCCCATATGGAAATCCTGCAAATATTCCCCGCATGAACAAACTAACATCCATGCATTCAATCTCCTCGCATTTACTATGGCAACTCAATTCGCTCGTTATTTTCTAATTCAATTCTCTGCCATTTCATCAGTTTGCAAATTAAATCTGAGCTTAACTAATAACTGGAGATTTAATATTTTTCCAAATACCCACTATTCATCTGAAGAGATTTGCACGAAGAGGACCAACTGAACGGCAAATAGCAGCTGTATATTCCAACAAAAATGTTGACCATATTCCAGGCTAACCACCAGTTGTATATCAGCATCCAAAGCCATTACTGAAGCCAAAATAAACTGAACTTGACTAACATCTACCCACACCCCCGCAATACCTCTCTCGCCCGAGAGAGCTGTTCAAATTTTTGCCTGTTTATTTTCAGGAGATATTTTATGAAAGGTACTTTGTCAAAATTCTAACAAGCTTAGGCTGTTGCTGCTGCTGCAAACGCTGCCATGATGTTATGGCTCTTGTTTTATAACACAGCCGGAAAATATGCAGCAGTATATTTTCGGTGAAAAATTTGTTTTTGTTGCTTCTTTTTGTGATTCTATGAAATGGGGCAAAAAAAACCAACATTTGTCCCATGTAGATTTATGGACACTCGCTTCTTCCTATTGTTGTTGTTACTTTTATAGGCAGCAGGCATCCAGCCAGTGTTTGCCTTTGCTTAGGGACTAATGGGGAGGGGGGAGAGGATACTGTGGTTAAACAGCTGAATACAAATACCCCCAGTGTTAGTTTGCGGATACAATGAATAAATCATAAAATCATTTAACGAAAATTACTTTAAACCAAACACCAAAAGAGCATCAAAGAGAGAACGAGAGGGAGAGAGAGCGCTAGAAATAAAAATAGAAAGACAAATATCGAAGAAGACACAGAATAATCACCGAATATATAAGCCATGTGATTTATCTAGAATAAAAGAGAATTTTGGTTTTTCCCATTTTCTTTGTTTTTGCGTTTGTATGTATGTACGACGGTTGGTTGGTGTTGCCCGGTCATGATAAGATATATTGTCAAATTTGCCATTGAAATTAATAAGGCGTAACTAATATTGCCAAAAAGGAGGAATGCTGAAATTACCGCAAATAAAAGTATAGTTTTAGGAGAAATAATAATAAAACGAACACAAAGAATTATACACAGAGTTATGGTGCTCCATGTATATATAGATGTAAATAAACAAAAGATTTTGAAGAACAATGCTTGTAATTTACCCAAATTTTAGAATGTTATTGGCTTCTACGTCAGCTCAGTCGCTTCCAGGGTCTGCATAAGGATCCACTAACCTTTATGAAATTAAAAGATCATAATTTCGACTTTCCTGGGGGTAAAAATCGAAAGTTTTATTGAATTAAATACTGAATTACAATTTCCCAGTGTTTTAATAGGATTTAATAGGTATGTTGGCGAATTGAATGTTAGCTGTTCAGGTGCAATTTTTGATCGGAAATTCGGTGTTTACAACGGTCGGAAATGCTGGTGCTGCGATTCGGTTTCTTAAAGATTTGTAGATAATAGGGAACGATGGATATCCGGTTGATACCGGTTATGATACTGATGTTCGGGTAGACGTTTTGAAGATAATCAGGAACTCTGATGAATAGACGATGGGTATCCGGAGACTATGATGGTAATCTTCGGCTGTAGGCGATTAGGCACTCTCATGAATGGACGTCGGGGACTACAATGATGATGCTCGGGTGGTAGATGATTTCGCGGTTCGGTTTGTAGAGGATTTCACTGGTCGGATTGTAATCGGGAACTCCGGACGCGGCCCACGATGATGACGCTCGGTTTAAATATGATTTTGCTGTTCGGATAATAAACTGGAACTCTTGGAAAAAACTTTCGGTCCTCAGGTGTTCTGGTCGTGTTCAGAGAGTAGATGATCGGAAAACCGTATCGGTGCTCGGAGGTTAATAGTTCTATGCTACTGTCTACGACTACCTCTACATTACCACTGTAGATTTCAGTTGGAACTGTGAGCTCGAAGCTCCAGCGAGCCCGAGGCTCCAGTGAGGATAGCTTGCTCCTGTTAGAACTACGATCCCGAAGCTCCAGTGTCAATGTATTACTGGCCACTCAAGTTATTGAGAGGCAGTCAATAAAAGATATTCTTAGGTAACAGTTCCTGTAAGTCGGAGGACTTGTACCCTTTAGGCCGGCCTCCTGCAGTAGCGAGCCTAATCCGTAAACCCAAACGAAAATTGTCACCACCCCAGTTAAGTCAATGAGAATTTTATACCATATGTTGTTAGGGTAATGATGGCAAATGAGCGACGGTTCCATGATAAACTGTTTAAGCACTGCTTACGGCGGTAAAGTGGTTCATAGGTCTATTGCATTGCTGTCGCATTTGAAGTAGACTGTGTGTTGTAATTGTTTTTAGAGTACTGTGTGGTCGGTCATGGTTGCTATTGAGCGTTGTTGATACTTTTTGGTTGTTGCGGTGTACTTGTATGTATATACTGTAACGACGAGTATCTTCCGGTCACTGGGAAACGTTTTCGGTCGTAGGGTATTGAAGTGATTGAGCGTAAAAGGTATAGGTTTTTTCGTTTACAAATTCGATACGTTCTCCTTTATTCTATACTATTTAATGACTACAAATTTTGATACTTATATTAATTGTAGTTGTCAGCTGATACGCCTGCTGCTCCGGTTGGATGAAGGAAGGCTTCTTCACTGCTGGTACTTGCCGAATGTGGTGTAAATTATACTTCGGAGGATCCAGGTAAGAGGAAGTGTAAGGTCAGCTTCAGGTCCACTACGGCTCTTCGACGATTCGTTTTGTAGAAACTGTTTTAACCAAAAGGCTCACTACACCTCTTTGAATTTCACTTATTTCAGATTTCATTTATTTGAATATCCAAGGCCCATGACGGCACTTGAATTTTCACTTGAGTTTTGGGTTTCTTAATTATTAATATCCGAGGCGCACGACGGCACTTGGATTTCACTCAAAATTCTGGTTAAATTTTTACCCGCTCTCCGTGACCCACGACGGTGCACTAAGGATTGGAATTGGAAAGGAGGGTATATTAACTTTGTCATTCCGTTTGTAACATCCTTATATATTCGTCGTGGACCCCATAAAGTATATATATTCATAATCAGCATAAAATTCTAAGTCGATTTAACGATGTTCGTCTGTCTGTCCGTCCTTCTGTCTGTCTGTCTGTTGAAATCACGATACAGCCCACATTATTTGACGTAGAGCGTTAAAATTTAGCAGAGCAATTTGTGTTGTGTCTAGGATGGTTGATATTGAAAATGAGATATATCGGTCCACGTTCTGGTATAGTCCCCATATAACGGTACCTCGCGATATTCGGTATTTTGATGGTTTCTGCCACATTTTTTCACGGATTTGTCTGAAAATTGGTATTTGTAGGTCATAATGGGTTCCAGCTCCGGTGGCGAAACATTGCATGTATGGGTCCATGATTTGGTATAGCCCCTATATAACGGTACCTCCCAATATTCGGTATTTTGATGATTTTTTGACACATTTTTTCAAGAATTTCTCTGAAAATTCGTAGTTGTAGATCATAATGGGTCCTAGTTTGTCTGGCGAGTCATTGTAATTATAGGTCCACGTTTTGGTATAGCCCCCATATAGCGGTACCTCCCGATATTCGGTATTTTGATGGTTTTTGCCACATTTTTTCACGGATTTGTCTGAAAATTTGTAGTTGGATATCATAAAGGGTCCCAGTTCGTGTGGCGAAACATTGTATGTATAGGTCCACCTTTTGATATGGTCCACATATAACGGTACCTCCCAATATTCGGTATTTTGACGGTTTCTGCCACATTTTTTCACGGATTTGTCTGAAAATTGGTATTTGTAGGTCATAATGGGTTCCAGCTCCGGTGGCGAAACATTGCATGTATGGGTCCATGATTTGGTATAGCCCCTATATAACGGTACCTCCCAATATTCGGTATTTTGATGATTTTTTGACACATTTTTTAAAGAATTTCTCTGAAAATTGGTAGTTGTAGATCATAATGGGTCCTAGTTTGTCTGGCGAGTCATTGTAATTATAGGTCCACGTTTTGGTATAGCCCCCATATAGCGGTACCTTCCGATATTCGGTATTTTGATGGTTTTTGCCACATTTTTTCACGGATTTGTCTGAAAATTTGTAGTTGGATATCATAAAGGGTCCCAGTTCGTGTGGCGAAACATTGTATGTATAGGTTCACGTTTTGATATAGTCCCCATATAACGGTACCTCCCAATATTCGGTATTTTGATGATTTTTGACAATTTTTTTCAACAATTTCTCTGAAAATTGGTAGTTGTAGATCATAATGGGTCGCAGTTCGTGTGGGGAGTCATTGTAATTATAGGTCCACGTTTTGGTATAGCCCCCATATAACGGTACCTCCAGATATTCGGTATTTTGATGATTTTTGCCACATTTTTTCACGGATTTGTCTGAAAAGTGGTATTTGTAGATCATAATGGGTTTCAGCTCCTTTGGCGAAACATTGCATTTGTAGGTCCACGATTTGGTATAGCCCCCATATAACAGTACCTCCCGATATTCGGTTTTTGCCACATTTTTTCTAATGTTTCCTTTATCCTAAGGTGGAGGGTATTAAAAGTTTTGCTTGTTTCCACTCACCTGGTACTTTCCTCGCCGGTTCACCACAGACTGATCCCAAGTCAGGCCTCGTCAGTCCTTTATGTTCTCGGCAGAGAATTCCGGGCTACTTCCAATGGCCTTCCCGACGTCGGTCTTCTGCTGCTGAGTCCACCACGTGGCGTTTTCCCATCCCTGCATTTTGTCATTTTTAAATTTATTCGCTTTAATTTAATTCTGTATATAAGCCTGGGTATTCCCTCCGCCAAAAATATTCAAAAGACGTTTATTTTTTATATTATTTCGTTTATTTTTTTTTATTCAATGTTAACAACTACATAATTCCAAAAAATGAGAATTTTAAATACCTAAAGTAATTAAACAAAACGGCAATCATTATCAGGCATCAGCTTCAGGAGACAGCCACGCCTATGGCGTAGCTGAGCACCGTTTTTCTAATGGCAAGTCGGGAAAAATTTAAGCGGATTTCTTCTCATCCTCCTTTTGTTCTTCGGTGACGGGGGCGGGGGCAGCAGTGGTGGTGCTGGCTTCAGCTTTGTTTTCGGCTTCGTCGGCTTTAGCTTCTTCCATTTTTTGTTCTTCCTCCATGGGAGCAGAACGGGCTTCAACAACTTCGGAATCTTCGTGATTTTCTTGGGGTTGTTGTTGTTGCTGTTCGAATTGTTGTTGGGGTACTTCGTATTGAGGATAGCCGGGGTATTGTTGTTGGGCGAATTGGTCTTGTTCGGGATATTCGACGGGTGTGGGTTCTTGGGCGTTTTGTTCGGGAGCTTGTTCGGATTGCTGTTGTTGTTGACCTTCAGCGGGTTGTTGTTGTTGTTGGGGTTGTTCTACATTAGCGGGGGAGCTAAAGAAAGAGGTTTGTTGTTGTTGCAAGGGAAATTGGTGGTATTGTTGGAAGATGGGAGAGGAACGGAACAAGGGGCCGGAGAAAGCAACAGGGGCAGCAGAGTAGGTTTTGACAACGGGGGCGGCATGGACAACTGGGGCAGCAGAGTAGGTTTTAACAACAGGGGCAGCATGGACAACTGGGGCAGCAGCAAAGGTGGTCTTTACTACGGGGGCAGCATGAACAACTGGGGCAGCGGAGTAGGTTTTGACTACGGGAGCGGCATGGACAACAGGGGCAGCGGCATAGGTTTTGACTACGGGAGCGGCAGCAGCATAGGTCTTGAAGACTGGGGCAGCATGGTAGGCTTGTACAACTGGAGCAGCAGCATGGTAGGTCTTGACGACTGGAGCGGCATGTACAACAGGGGCAGCGGCAAAGGTGGTCTTAACTACGGGAGCAGTATGGACAACAGGGGCGGCAACAGTCTTAACAACTGGAGCGGCGTGAACAACTGGGGCGGCAGCAGCATAAGTGGCAACAGTCTTCACCACAGGGGCGGCATGTACCAAAGGAGCAGCATGTACGACAGGAGCAACAGTCTTTACAACTGGGGCAGCATGGACGAGGGGAGCAACAGCCTTTACAATGGGTTCACGGGTCACAACAGCATTGAAACCATTGACATCATCAGCGGTATAGGTCACGGTGCGCTTGAAACCATCGGCATCAACAACGCTGTAAGAACCGGCTACATTACCACCATCACGGCTCTCAACCTGGGATTTAATGTCACCACTGACCGAATCATGGACACCATAAGAGAAATCATATTGAGGATGAGGATCGACTTCTTCAGCTTTAGCCACAGCAACGGGAGCTACAGCAACAGTTTTGGCAGCCACAACGGCGGCGGGAGCGGCAGCATAAGTTCTCACAAAGGGAGAATAGGCCACACCGGCCATACAGGAACCGGTCAAAGCCAAGAGACCGACAAGTGTAACGAACTGCAAATGGGAAGGAGGAAAGGTGAAGGGGAGAGGTTATTAATGTGGAGTTTCAAATATTCTATATCAAAAAAAGAGTAGTGACCGAGAATCAACGCCCGGAAACAACGGCCGTAGCTAGAATTTTGAAATTTTGCGTGAGGGTCAGTCGTGGTGCGTAGGCGTGTAATAAAACTGGTTTTTGTGGAAATTCGTACAAAAAGGGTTAAGGGTACTAAAATGTACTAAAAATTGAATACTTGGTATTGGACAAATAGAATGAGCTAGAATTCTGAAATTTATGATGAGAGTCACTGATGGAGTACAGGAAAAATAATCCAAAGGGTTTTTGGAAATTCGAACTTTAAGATTACGAAAAGTTCTAAAATGGTACTAAACTTCTGAAATGCTAACATTTGGGATTATGTGAACGGATAGAACTGAAAGCAGGAAAATTGGCATGAGAATCAAGGTTGGAAAATTAGTTGGATATATGAAGGTGGCTTTGGAAATGTGTACTAAGTGTGAGAACTGTACTAAATTTGGAACAGTTTGGTTTAGGGTGAACAGATGAAGCTTGAATTTTGAAATTTTGTCTGGGCTCCCTATTTGGTGGTGTGGGATTAAGAAGAGATTTTGGAAATCTGTATTACAAGTGCACGAAAAGTACTAAATGGTACTATATTTGGTACAATTAGGTAATGGGTAAATAGATAGTGCTTACAGTTCGAAATGTTGAGCTAGGGTCGCTGTTCGTGTAATATTCATATAACTGTTGGTATCTGAGGTTGAGATTTGGAAGTAGGTTCGGGATGTGTGTATTATAGTTATACCAAAATGGTCCCAAATTTGATATGGGGTGTTTTATATGGGTGGAATCCACAAATCTTACATTAAGGTGTCTGCTGATGCCTGTGGCTAAAATATCGAGGTGATTTTGGAAATGGGTACTATAGATGTACGAAATGTACTAAATAGTACTAAAGTTGGTCTAAATTAAAAGGATACAGATACAATTTTGAAAATAGATATTCAGATAAATGTTGGCATCTGAGGTTGAGATGTGGAGCTGGTTTTGGACATATGTACTATTAATGTTCGAAAATTAGTAAATGGTTCTAAATTTGATATTCGGTGAAGGGATAGACCTGGAATCCGAAAATTGGATATTGAGGTCTCTATTGGTATCTAGGATTTAGATATGAAGTTGCTTTTCAAAATGTGTACTATAATTGTACGAAAAGTACTAAATGGTACAAAATTTAGTCCTGATTAAAGGGGGAAAATATATAATTTTGATATTGAGAATTCCGAAACTTGATATTGAAGTCCCTGTTGGTGTCTGTGGCTAAAATATGGAGGTGAGTTTGGAAATGTGTACTATAATTGTACAAAAAGTACAAAATTGTATCAAACTGGGTATTGGGTAAAGGGGCAGAGCTGAAACTCCGAAATTTGTTATTGAGGTCTATATTGGTAACTAGCATTGAGATATGGAAGTGGATTTGTAAATGTGCACTTGAGTTGTACGAAAAGTACTAAATGGTACTAAATATGGTCCTGGTTAAAGGGAAAAAAGATTTAATTTTGATATTGAGAATTCCGAAACTTGATATTTAAGTCCCTGTTGGTGTCTGTGACTAAAATATGGAGGTGAGTTCGGAAATGTGTACTATAATTGTTCGAAAAGTATATAATGGTACTAATTAGGGTAAAGGGACAGAGCTGAAACTCCGAAATTTGTTATATTGGTAACTAGCATTGAGATATGGAAGTGGATTTGGAAATGTATACTTAAATTGTACGAAAAGTACTAAATGGTACTAAATATGGTCCTGGTTCAAGGGAAGAAAGATTTAATTTTGATATTGACAATCCCGAAACTTGATATTGAAGTCCCTGTTGGTGTCTGTGACTAAAATATGGAGGTGGTTTTGTAAATGCGTACCATAATTGTACGAAAAGTACTGAATGGTACTAATTTTGCTATTGGGGAAAGGGATAAACCTGGAATCTAGAAATTTGATATTGATGCCGCTGTTGGTGTCTGGGATTGAGATATGGGTGTGGTTTTGGAAATGCATTCTATATTTTTACAAAAAGTACTAAGTGGTACTAAATTGGTTATTGGTTGAAGGGATAGAGCTGGAATCCCGAAATTTGATATTGAGGTCCTTGTTGGGACCTGGTGTTGGGATTTGGAGTTGGTTCTGGAAATGAGTCTTATATTTGTACGAAAAGTACTAAGTGGTACTAAATTTGCCATTGGGGGAAGGTATAGGACTGGAATCCCAAATTTGATATTGAGGCCCCTGTTGGGATCTAGTATTGGGATTAAGTGGTACTAAGTTGGATATTGGTGGAAGGGATAAATCTGGTGTCCCGAAATTTTATATAGAGGTCTCTGTTGGTATATGGGATTGAGATTTGGAGGTGGGCTTAGAAATGTGTCCTACATTTGTATGAAAAGTACAAAATGGTACTAAATTAGATATTGAGTGGAGGAATAAAAATAAAACACTGAAATATATGAAATATGTCCTATATTTGTACGAAAAGTACTAAATTGAACTAAATTTGGTATTGGGTAAAGGCATCGAGCTGCAATCCTTAAATTTTATATTAAGGTCCCTATTGGTATCTGATATTGAGATATAGAGGTGGTTTTGGAAATGTGAATTAATATTATTCAGAAAGAACTAAGTGGTACTTAATTTGGTATTAGGTGGCGGGATGGAAATAAAATTCTGAAATGTGTCCTATATTTGTATGAAAAGTACTACATTTGACAAAATTTGGTATTGGGTGAAAGAATAGAGAAAAATTCTGAAACTTAATATTAAGGTCTCTGTTAGTGTCTGGTGTTGTGGTAGGGATGCGGCCTATATTTGTTTGAAAAATACTAAATTTGGTATTGGGTGAACGTACAGAACTGGAATCCCGAATAGTGTATCGGTTTTGCCAATGCGTACTATTATTGTTAATAAAGTACAAAATTGTACAAATCTTTAATCACTGTTAGGGTCTAATGAGGAGAGATGTAGATTGTTTTGGGCATGCCTAGTAAATTTGGTATAGGAAAGAGGTAGAGCTAAAATTTTGAAATTTTATATTGAGGTTCCTCTGGATTTATGGGGTTTACAAATGGATGTGATGAACTATTTTTGGCTAGAAAAATTGGATGTGCATCCATTATGCAATGTTCTTACTACTATCTTCCTCGGTTAACGTCAAAATCATTGATTTTGAAAACTTTGTGGTGTTAAAGCTAAACATTTTTCAATTAAAAAAAACTTCGATAAAATATAAAACCTTGAAATTCTAAAAATTTGTTACGATTTTGAATTTTTGATTAAAAAAAAAACTCGTCAAACAGAACAATTTGTACATTTTTAGTACTAAAAAGGCCTAACTGTTGTAGCTAATCAAAAAAGGCTAAGTAGTGTAGTGTCTAAAATATAATGATGTGCCAAGTTTGAACTAAATTGTGTACTCATATCGCCTAATATAAGATTTTTTTTTATTGAAGGTCTCTAAAGTTAGTATCAGAACAATTGGACAAAAACTGCCCATTTCCACACTTGATCAAAGTTTAATTAATATTTCTTTCGAGATTTATCCGGACAAACAGACAGATATTCAAACAAGCAGTTGGATTATTATACATTGGCAAGACCGACTCAATATATTGTGAAACATATCTCGTTCAGAGATACCCAGGATCTAATAACGCTATTTCCATGAGACACATTTTGGCCAAACGAAATGATGAAGGAGGAATCCCTTTGACTACAAAGGAGAATGAAGGCAATCCTTTTGCCTACAAAGGGTAAATATCATTTGAAAAAAAAAAATAGTAAATAAATATCAAAAATTGAAGCTAAATAAATTCTGGGCCGATTTTAAAGAAAAACATGATTAATGTTTCAAAACAGAATTTCGATTGAAAATGGATTTTTTTTCAGAACTCGTTGTTGAAAAATCATTCAATTTTCAATATTTCTAATTATAGTTGTAAAAACGCGTTGCTGAATACAGGAATGCATAGGTAAGCAGGATAGGCTGAACAAATGCAGCTAAATATATTTATGACAGGGAAAAGGAATTTCGTAGAAAACGTTTACTCGTGAGGATTTTTTTTCCTTTTTATACTCTTTGCTGAATGTAAAAGTTATAGACTAAATCTTTTAAAAAATCCTTGATTTTCTAGATCCTTTGAAAATACATTAAATATCTTAAAATTTTATCATTTTTTTCCAAAACTCCCAGCTAAAACACCAACTCACAGCTGAATAACAAAGAAAAACTGATTTTCAATTTTCATTCTCTTTAATGCTTTTCACATATTTTATGCATTTTTTCGAATAAAATTTTTAAATTGTCATTTTATTAAAGATATATATCAGTATATTTTTATTGTCACTCCATGATTATCCTTTTTTCAGTTCTTTTTTTATATTTTTATTCTTCTCACTTACTTTGTATGCCATTTTTTAATTGTTTTTTTTTTTTTTTTGCAGTTTCACTTTATTTTAATTAAATCAAACACGCGCTTTCAATATTTGCTTTTTCGTTCGAAGAAAAAAAAGTACGAGAACACACAATGGGTGGTGGTGGTTCCTTTTTTTTTGTCCGTTTGTACTGTGCGTTATATCCCGTTTAAAGGCGCTGACAGCTAACTGCTGGTTTCGTTTATTAGGAGTTTTTGTTTTGTTGCGATGACAACTGACAATTGGGTTGTGATGCTGACAACTTGACGGCTCAACAGTTTTATACACAAAATTTCTTCTATGGACTGACTTCCGAAAGAGCCCGATCCACCAAAAAAAAATGCCGCACACATATTCACTTAAGTTCATTACAATGTCAGCTGCGAAGTACTATTATACATGGTTATTGTTGTTGTTGCTGCTATTTTTTGATTTTGGAACCAGCAAGCCAGCCACTGTCAATGCTGAGTAACTGTCGCTGACAGCAGCAACAGCAGCAGTAATGGTAACAACAACTATTAATAAAGAACAACAACAATAACCGAGGAAAAAAACTATAACAGACGGGGTTTTCGGACTTAAAACCATGCAAAAGAAATATTCAAAATCCCTACCAAAAACAATTGTGCTTTGGGATATTGAACTACTACGAGAGACAAGCAAGCAAGCAAACAAAAAGACAGACAGACAGAACGAACACACAAGAAGGAGAAGAAGAAGAAGAACAGCAATAAGTGTAAATAAGTGTGACTTATTGTCGGGCTAAAGTGTAAGAATTAGCGAATTAAAACATAAGTTGTCACTAATGCTGCTACACCCACACCCCCACACATAAACTCGAAGACATGGGTAAATATAAATATTCAAAAATTCGTTAATGCATGCGAAGCGAACATATGCCGGCATGAATACTTAGCATATGAGGTGAGTATGATAGCTATCGGCAGCTAAGGTAAATACAGCTACACTGGATAAGTTTTGGCCAAACGGTGACATGCAACCTATATGATGTCTCAGGCTGCCCGAATGCCATCCTCAGACTGCAACCTTTGGTTTCTTTTAAACCATTTGGTTACTTTAAAACCCTAGTCTGTCTGTCTGCCTGGTTGGCTGGTAGGAAGAACTACTCACGAATGGGTATCTATAATATCTTGTCAAACATAGAAGAAGTTCGAAGATGGGCAACGTCGGCCTCATTCTTTCCCTTCTGGTACATATGCAAAAAGGCAAATTTACTCGAATGTCTGCAGGACTTTTGGCTTTGAAAATGGGCGATGTAGGTCCACGTCTTCGTATAGCCCCCATATAACAGTACCTCCCGGTATTTGGTATTTTGATGATTATAGCGACATTATTCACCGGAATTGTTTTAAATTTCGTATTTGAACTTCGTAATGGATACTACAGCAAAGACAGAAAATTGTCTGTGCAGGTCTACGTCTTCGTATAGCCCCCATATAACGGTACCTTCCGATATTCGGTATTTTGATTATTTTAGCGACTTTATTCACCGGAATTTTTTTAAATTTGGTATTTGATGTTCGTAATGGATGCTACAGTCTATGACAGAAAATTGTCTGTGCAGGTCTACGTCTTCGTATAGCCCTCATATAACTGTTCCTCCCGATATTCGGTATTTTGATTATTTTAGCGACTTTATTCACCGGAATTTTTTCAAATTTGGTATTTGAAGTTCGTAATGAATACTACAGCCTAAGACAGAAAATTGTCTGTGCAGGTCCACGTCTTCGTATAGCCCCCATATAACGGCACCTCCCGATATTCGGTATTTTCATGATTTTAGCTACATTATACACCGATTTTTTTAAGTTTCGCATTTGAATATTGGCTTATGACAAAAGTTACCCATGCAGGTCCATGTCGTCGTATAGACACTAATGTATCAGCTACATTCGGTATTTTTAAGATTTTAATAGAATTTTTAACGGATTTTATTATTTTTGAGAATAGCCAATTCGTTCCAAATGGTGGAGGGTCGGCCGAACTTACAGCCTTTTTACTTGTTTTAAATCAATGATTCTTAAAGTAATCCAAAGCTCTCTATAAATCTGCAAGGCCCTAACGCGGTAAGTCGGAACTTGTTTCTGGCCCCCCATCCTGATGCCATGCATCGACAAAATTTATATTAGCATGAATTGTTTTTCTTAAAATATTTTGAATTTGAATAAATGCATTTCTTGAAACATACATTGTTTCCATAACTTCGAGGATCGTTGTCACAACAATTATCGGTAGCCAAAATTATCAACAACTTCTTTACGTCGATGATCCAAATGTCTCGCTGGGGAAAACATGTAGCAACAACATGCATGTGTAAGGCATTCTTCAGCGATGCAACGGTGTAAACAACTTGATGTATGAAAGCACACCATCCTGACACCGATCCTTATAAAAGGATTGGCCCTCTATGAGTGGATGTGAATCGATAGAAGTCCCCAGTCTTCAATCAAGTGAAACAATTTATGAGACCGTTTAACGAGACCCTAGCAGAACACCATTTTACAACAGGTAAAACTCTCGACCACTGAGCAACTAGAGTCAGTTTTCCTACGCCACTTAGAGACAGGGTTCCAAACCCTAGAAGGCCCCTAGGTTGCTCTGCTCTGGAAAGACAGGCCTATATAAAAGTTAAGTATATACCCGCGAGTTCGCGACCCCATATTTGAACCTGCGAGTTTCCCAAGCCGCTGGGAGGCAGAAACCCGAATCTTCGCTGCCTCCACATCACTTCCCAGGACCATTTCAGGGAGTGTAAAAATTTTGTCGAAATACTATATTCAATAATAAAGAAAAATAATATAACATATCAAGTCATTCTCCTTACTTAAGTCGCTGAAATAAACTAATCATTGGGAGTTAACAGAAGGAGTGGATCGATATATCCCATCTTCCTAACATAACTTGTGTTAATAAATATATTGTAATCTGTGAAATTTTGTAAGAGTTATAATTATTTCAAATTTTGACCCGTTGTGGGGGAGTTATTTGATGGAGCAGGAATTTGCAAAAAATTTAATGATCCTTTCACATTCTATAAAGTAAATTATTTTCTTTGAAAATTTTAACCTTTTGTAGGGCAGGTACCTGAAGGAGTGTACCGATGTTGGCCATCTCTGAACTCGATCTAAGCTTGACAACAATATTACGATGTACCAAATTTGGACAAAATCGAATACTGCCTTCGAGAGTTATTGTGCGCCAGACAGACTGGCGGATATTGTTCAAAGAGACCTAGGGTCTAAAACCATCATTTCGATGAGGCACGTTTTTGCCGTTTTTTGCCATTGTAGCCATATAGCTGGGGGTATAAAGAAAGAAAAAAAGGGCAACCAAAATAATGCTCGTATTCTTCGCATATTGACTATGACACTATACACATAATATGAACGAATTCCAGGAATCTTAATATACATTTTAAAATTGTGTAAGAGAAAAAACTTGCCCTCTCATTTAAAATAACTTGGCGATGTAAACTTTCAAAACGTCGCGATACGTTTGCTCTATTTTAAGCTCTAAATACTTTCATAGTCAACTGGATTTCTCCTGTTATTATTTAAAAAAAATAATAATAATTCTGTCGAACAGTGTAATACACAAATCAACAAAGTTTTTCTACCTAATATTGAAAAATCATTTGCCTAGACAAACAAGGATGAACCCTACGGAATTAGGTAATAACCGGTCCAAATTTAAATATTACACACATATATTTTGCGCCATTCGTCCTAATTCTATCTGGAAGCAGTATTTCAAATTTTGTGAAATCGGTTCAGATAAAGCTATAGCATCCATCGCAGATAAAAAATAATAATAAAAAACTAAAAAAAGTCAAACGCCATAATTTTTATGTATTTTTTTTTTTTTAATTTATTGAATGAAAACAAAAAATGTCGGAAATAGCATCAAATGTTAGAATAGTTTAGATTTGTTCGAATTGGTCACCTTTTTCACGAAATATGGCCTTCAAACGGCCAATGAAACCGTCACCCGCTGTCCGAATGTTGCTCTGCGGTATTTTGGCCCATTCCCGGCTAAGCGCTTTTTTGACGTGATCGACACTTCGACTTTTAGTGCCAACCTTGCTTTCCAAAATACTCCAGACACAATAGTCCAACGGATTGTTATCCGAAAATGTTGGTGGCCATTGTGCGCTGGAAATTAAGCGAGGGACCTCATTTTGTATCCATTCTTGGGTGGCGCGTGCTGAGTCCTGTCGAAATGTCCAAGGTCTGCGGCCAAAATGTTTGCGTGCCCAAGGCTTTAATACACCCTCCAGAAAAATTTCGCGATAATATTCGGCATTTATGCTGATGCGACAGTTGATTAATATGAGCGTAGAGCGACCATCGGCTCTTATGGCGGCCCACACCATCACCATGGCCGGCGCTTGAGTTCTGGTGGCTAACCGAAGGTGCACATTTTCTGCTGACCTCATTGTTTGTTTACAAACTGCTAGACAACGAATGTTTTCTCATCGGAGAAAACCAAATTCGGCAGTTCACCACTTTCGGCCAAGCGAAGCGACTCTTTAGCTCTTTTGAGTCTAATTTCTTTCTGTTGCGGTGTAAGTTCTTGTACTTTTTGAAATTTCAATGGTTTTACCCCGAGCTCATTTTTTAATATTTGCCGATTGGAATATTGCGATATGTTCAGCTCACGAGCCAGTTTTGGGTCACTGCGACGCGGGTCAGATAAAGCATAGAAATACATCTGCTTAATTTTATGGAGATCGGTTCAGTTTTGAATGTAGCTCCCCTTTGTATCATCCGATTTTGTGATTATTGTCCCAAAAAGTGTAATATCAGCCCAAAGAGGAATATTTTGATAAAAATCTGTTCAGAAACAAATGCTTCCGAAAATAGATTTAGAGGAGAATATACGTCATACGATATATATCAGATCCTTTCGACTTTAAAATATAACTAAAATCATAGTTGGTATAATTTAGTTCTCACAAATTCCACTCATATATTTGTTATGTGCATCTCTATTATAAATGTAAAGGGGTGTAGGGTATCAAAAAGTCATCTCCGCCAGAATTTTGACCTTCGATACCGGTTTTCTGTTAAAATAAAGATACAGCTTATATTATTAGATGTAAAGCATTGCGTCTAGGATGAGTGATATTGAAAATGACCTATATGGATCTACTTTTTGGCATAGCTCACATATAACGATACTTCCAGATATTTGGTATTTTGATGAAGTTAGACACATTTTTGCATGGAATT